TGTTGCGACTTGCCTGATCCCCTCGCAGAGGCCAATCGGAAGCCACAGGAACGTCTTATCCTCTTCGCCTTCGACTCGACACGCTTCGGCCGGCCTGCTTGCCAGGCCATGCGCCGCCTCCAGCGAGACGCCCTCGGGCGCCGGCCATGCCACCGTGGACCCCCATCGCCAGCGTCGTCGTCGCCGTCGCGCTGCCACGTCGATCGGTGGATTGCGGCAATAGAATTATGCGGAGGTTTGTATGCGAGTGGAAAAAAGTTAAATTTGGGGCCGACATGGGGCCAAAAATACGGAGTTGGTTTTCGTCACAACGGATAACGAGGATGGGCGACGTACGGGTCGTGGTCCGCGTGCGCCCGCCGAACGCGAGCGAGATCGCGCGCGGCAACAACGGCCAACGCTGCGTCAAGGTCGCGAGCCCGAGTCTCGTGCACGTGTACCCGGACGACAAGGCCATGGAGGCCGGCGGGCCGCCCAACTCGTTCACGTTCGACAACGTCTTTGGCGAAGACTCGACGCAGCAAGAGGTCTTTGAGGCCGTCGCCAAGCCCGTCGTCGCCGACGTCCTCGAGGGCTACAACGCGACCATCTTTGCTTATGGCCAAACCTCGTCCGGCAAGACGTTTACGATGGAAGGCGCGTCGATTGACGACCCGGGCCTGCGGGGCATCATTCCGCGCACGGCGACCGAGCTCTTTGCACGCCTCATGGACGCCGACGAGAACATGGAGTTTGTCGTCAAAGTGAGCTACATTGAGATCTACATGGAGCGCATCCGCGATCTCCTCGACCCGTACAAGACCAAGATCAACCTCCAGGTCCGCGAAGACGCCGAGAAGGGCATTTACGTCGACGGCGTCACGGAGCTCTGCGTCACGAGCGACGACGAGCTCCTGACGACCATGCGCAGCGGCGCCATGAACCGCGCGGTCGCGGCCACGGGCATGAACGAGGGCTCGAGCCGGTCGCACTCGGTCTTCATGGTCACCTTGTACCAGCGCAACCTCGAGACCAACTCGACCAAAGTCGGTACGCATCACTACTCGATATCGCGCCAATGGCTCATGTGACGACGACAGGCAAGCTGTACCTCGTCGACTTGGCCGGCTCGGAGATGGTGCGCAAGACGCAGGCGTCCGGGAAGCAGCTCGAAGAAGCCAAGACCATCAACAAGTCGCTCTCCGCGCTCGGGATGGTCATCAACGCCCTCACGACGGCCAACGTGACCTTTGTGCCCTACCGCGACAGTAGGCGCCTCGTGCTGAGCCTCGTCCCTGACGTCGCGTGTGTCTAGGCAAGCTCACGCGCGTGCTGCAAGAGTCGCTCGGTGGTAACTCGCGGACCGCGCTCATCATCAACGTGTCGCCGAGCAGCTACAACGCGCCCGAGACCCTCTCGACGCTGCGCTTTGGGAACCGCGCCAAGAGCATCAAGAACAAGGCGGTCGTCAACGCCGAGAAGAGCGCGGAAGAGTACAAGCAGCTGCTCGCCAAGGCCGAGAAGGCCATGACGATGCAGCAAAACTACATCCTCGTGCTCGAAACAAAGCTCAAGCAGCAGCAGCTCAGCGCGACGACGACCGACGCCGCCGTTGCCGAAGTCGCGGCGGTCTCGGCCCTCGAGAAGCTCCAAGTACGACGACGAGATGTTGCCGGTTCTTGTGCCTCACCCCGTGTCCTCTAGGAGCGCGTGGTGCAGCTCGAAGAGCAGCTCGGCGAAGAGAAGCAAGAGTCGCAGCGGCGCGGCGACGAGATTCGGTCGCTTACCAGTGTCCTAAACGCATCCCAGCTCGAAGTGGAAGAGCTCAAGGCGCAAAAAGAGAGTTTTGAGCGCCCGCGCGACGACCACAGCTCGCGGCACCTCCTCGAAGAGCTAAGCCACCTCAAGCTCGAGCTCGACAAGCTCCAGTTTGAGAACGAAGAGATCAAGCTCCATGTGACGACGCTCCAGCAAGAGAACGAGCGGCTCGCGGCGGAGAACGACCAGCGCGCCAACAGTGCGAGCGATGACGACCTCGTGGAGACCACCAACGTGACACTTGCCGCGCCGTTGCCGCCGCCGGCCCCGACGACGCCGCCCCGCGCAAGCAGCTCGAGCACGATTCGCCTCGAGGTGGACGAGGAGAAGGAAGCCCGCGTCTTGCGGCTCGAATCGGACCTCAAGGCCGCGCAGGAGGAGCTCATGGCCCACCAGACGCAGGCACAGAAAGAGATCCAACGCTTCACGGACGAGCGTCGCCTCCTCACCAACCAGGTACACAGATCTGATGGCGATCGACATGCCACATTCGTCTCTAGATTCAAGAGCTTGCGAACCAGCTCCAGTCGGTGCAGACGAGCCAGCAAGCGATTACGTCGGCGACGGGCATGTCGGCCCGGGAGCGGCAGCACATGCGGTCGATCCAGCAAAAGCTCGAGCAGCTCGTGGCCGTGCACCGGCAGCTCCTCCGCAAGTACGCGTCGCTCGAGTCGGAGCACAACGAGGCGCGGCAGAAGCTCGGTCTCCGCGACGACCGCATCAAGAGCCTCGAGGCCAACACGCGCCTCATGGCCTCCAACATGCGCGCGCAGTCGGAGAAGCACCTCGAGGAACTCAGCGCGCTGCATGTGCAACTCGCCGAGCTGCGTCGCAATATGAGCCAGGACACACTGCCCGACCTCCCGGAAGAGAAGCCGACGCCGCTTCCAGTCCGCCGCGCGGCCAGCGTCTATGTCAACCGCCAGGGCAGCGTCGTCGGCGACGGCGTCATTCGCCCGATCCGCGGTGGCGGACGCCGGCAGTCGACGCTCGAGCCGTCGCCGGCCAAGTCGGACGCCGCCGGCGGCCTCGGCTTTCTCCAGCGCATGCTCGGCCTCAAGTAGTCTGTCGCCGTATTATATTGGAATACACTGCATTGTTTTCGTTGCGGAACAGTGCTTCTTACATGTCGCCCCAGTCGGCGTCGTCGTCGTCAAACTCGATCTCTTCGTCCGAACGCAATCCAAAGTCCAAGACGTTGCTTGGCGACGGCGGGACGACCGCTGTCGCCTCGGGCACCGCACGTGCCTGGGCGTCGGCTAATGCTTGCACTTCCGCGGCCGCGCGAGCTTCTGCTTCAGCTTCAGAGCGACCTTGGGCTTCAGCTGCAGCACACGCTTGGGCCTCGGCAGCGGCCCGAGCTTCAGCTTCGGCACGGGCCTGGGCCTCTGCTTGAGCACGGGCTTGGGCTTCGGCGGCGGCCCGAGCTTCAGCTTCCGCACGAGCTTGGGCTTCGGCGGCGGCCCGAGCCTCGGCTTCGGCACGGGCCTGGGCCTCTGCTTGAGCACGAGCTTGAGCTTCGGCACGGGCCTCGGCTTCGGCCATAGCGCGCGCTTGAGCTTCGGCCTGAGCACGAGCTTGGGCTTCGGCGGCGGCCCGAGCCTCGGCTTCGGCACGGGCCTCGGCTTCGGCCATAGCGCGCGCTTGAGCTTCAGCCTGAGCACGAGCTTGGGCCTCGGCGGCGGCCCGAGCGTCAGCTTCGGCACGAGCTTGAGCTTCGGCCTGAGCATGGGCCAGCGCTTCAGCTTGAGCATGGGCCTGCTGCTGCAAGCGATCCGCTTCCTCAGCGGCGCGGGCCGCCTCGTACTGGGCGCGCACTTGAGCTTCGTGACGGGCTTGCGCGGCATGAGGATCCTGACCTACAGCACACAAATACGACTTAGTCTTCCGGCACGCTCACAGATATATTAAGTCCAAATTACACCGCTACATACCTTCGGCCGGCGCGCCCATGGCTTCCAAGACGTTCATGTCCAGAAGCGGCGACCGCGTTGGGTACTCGGCGGCGGCAGCGTGCACCTCACGCTCCTTCTCGAGCAAATGCGCCGCGTTCAGCGACGCCGCCCAGTTCTCAAACAACTCTTCGTGCTTGGCTGGGTCGGCCAGCGCCTTAGCCGCGCGCGTGCTCACGAGCGATAGGTCGTCGCGCCACGCACCGAGCACGTCGCCAATCTGGTCGGGTTGGTACGACCGCGCAAAGAAGGCGGCTTCCGGCAGCCGCTTTGTCTCGACCAGCAGCGCCGTGCACTCGCGGAGCCGGCCAAGCAAGAGCAGTGCAATGAACGCCACGTTGTGCCGGTGCTTCTCGGTCGCGAGCGCCGCGAGCCGCGTGAGCCCACGCAAGTCGCCCTTGGACGTGTACAGCAAGAGCAGCAGACTGAGGTCGTCGGCCTTGACCGCGCACTCTTCCGCAAGATCGTACTTGGCGTCGTTGAGCGCGAGGTCGCCGAGCTGCTTCCACTTGTGCTGCATGTCGGTGGCCGACACGTGCACGTCGTTGGCCGCGCGCTCCATCATGATGGCCTTGGCCACGTCGAGCTTGGCGAGCTGCACGGCCAGGTCAAACCGCTGGTCCGGGTCCGTGCTCAGCTGCAGCGCCTCTTCCTTGAAGCCCTGCGACTCGAGGAAGCGCGCGACCGCGTCCATCTGGTCGGACGGAAGGCGCGGCAGAATCGCGTTGGCCGCGTCAAAGTCGCGCCGGACCACCGCGGTCTGGTACTCGAGCAGCACGACGTTGAGCGTAAAGCTCGTCACGTGCTTGGCCTTGTCCATGAGAAAGACGACGTTCTCGCGCGGGAGGTACCCGAGGAGGTACATCTTGCTCGGGAGGTGCGACACCGTCATGATCTCGCCGCCGACATAGTAGTTGAGGCGGCCGGTCGCGTTCACGTACAGAAAGCAGTCGCCGACCCACGCGCCCGACCCGACTTTCTCGCTCATCTCGTGCAGCAGTTCGAACGCGCCCTCGACGCCGTCCGGACCGGCCGCATGCAGATTCGCCGTCACGGCTTCCCGGTGGTAGCGCAGCACGTAAAAGCTGGCGTCGCTTGCGAGCACGACGAGGTCGCCAGCGTCCGACCAGTAGACGTTCTTGACCGACGCGTCAATCTTGCGCACGAAGCGGAGGTCGTCCCAGTCGTAGAACGCAATGCAGTCAGGCCCACGGACACCGACGAGCGCGCCGCCAAAGAGCCCTTCGGCCGAGCACTGCGCCGGCTTGAGCGTCTTGGCCTCCGCAAAGTTCTTGAAGAGCGTGAGCTTGGAAGACGACTCGCGCGTGACGTAGTCGCCCGTGCCGGTCGGCGACCACGCAAAGTCGAGCGCCGACCCAAAGCTCTTGTTGCGCAGCTGCTGCGACGTGTAGATGATGTACTCGCCGTCGCCGCAAATGACCACAAACCGGCCGTTGGCGTTGTGCTTGAGCTTTTGCGGAAAGACGTCGCAGGACCCGAGGTCGCGGCCGGGCAGCGGCACGCGCTCGCCGTCTTTCAGCCCCAGCTCGGCCACGACACCCTTGAGACTCGCAGTCTGAATCTCATTGTTGGTGGCCCAAATGACCTTGCCGGTCGCGTCCATGCTCGCGATCGGCGTGTCGTGGCCCAAGCGCAGAACGACGCTGCCTTCGTCGTAGCCGATCGCGAGGCGGTTCGAGTTGTCCAGAGCACTGAGGTTCCACGCTCGCTCCATGCCGTAGTTGAGCGTCGTCTCAGCGCGATACGTCGTGCTGTGCCACATGCGCACGGCGCCGTCTTCGCAGGCCGAGATGATGAGCGGGAGGCGCGGGTGGTAGAGCACGTCCGAGAGGTTGTGCGTGTGGCCGTCAAGCGTGTGCACGATCGTCTTGGTCTGGTAGTCCCACACCTTGACCGTCTTGTCGTCCGAGCCAGAAATGAGATACGGCTTGTCGCCACCCGGGTAGTAGTCGACGCAGTTGACGCCACGCTCATGACCTTCGAGCGTAAAGTGGGGGTGGGACGAGGCCCCAGACGCGGACCGTGCCATCAAAGCCCGCGGTCGCAAACGTGTTGGTATCCTTCGGGTTGAACTTGGCCATCATGACGTAGTGGCCATGGCCCTCAAACACCTGCGTGCACAGCCAGTTCTTGTCCCAGTCCCACATCTTGACCGTCATGTCGTCGGCGCACGAGAGGATAATGGGCAAGACCGGGTGCACCTCAAGGTACCGGATGTAGTCCGTGTGCGCGTCAAAGGCGGCGACCTTGTCCATCGTGTTGTAGTTGAAGACGCGGATCTGGAGGTCGTCGCTCGAAGCCACGATCCACTGCTTGCGCGCAATGAAGCGCGCGTTGCGCACGGGCAGCGAGCTCACTTCAAACGACTTGACGAGCTGTTGCTTGTCGTAGTCCCAGAGCATGACGCTGCCGTTGTACAGGCCGGTCAGCACCCATGGCTCGGTCGGGTGCAGGTCCACGCTCTTGACGCGCTCCGACCGGCTCGTGAGCTTTTTCTGATGTCTAGGCGCAGCGGCTACGCATATACAGATGTCATCTAGCGGCCTCATGGAGCGGCCACGTACCATGAGCAGTCGGGTCTCAGGGGTATGGGCCACAAATCCGAAATACTCTGGGGATCGAAGTCATCCTGCGGAAATCAATATCGGTTCTGGCAGTTTCCATACATGGCGACACGGGATTGGCTAAAAGCTTGATGGCGATAGGCTGTATTCACCCAACCTTTGCCTCACCACGGTGCTGCAGGGGCGTAGCGGTAGCTGCACCTCGCCCCGCGCGTCATTGATAAGCCGCAAATGATGTAGTCTGAATTCTCTTCAACATGGGTACCAGTGCAGTATTGGTATTTGAATTGAGAGGTGACAGTTTAGGGAGAAAAGTGCGTGAAATTAGCGACCGCCCGCGACGCGCGTCTCCATACAGCAACAGTGTTTATTTCCAGCGGTTCGCAGCAGCAAGCACCAGCCCCACGTTTAAGCGATGTCCCCTCCTTCTAACCTCTATGCTTGATGCCAAGTGCCGGAAAACCACTGGATGGAAATGACAAATCGTTGATTTAGTACCAAAATAAGATGGGTGACAACGTCGGTCGCAGTGTGAAGTCGCATGCGCATTTTGGGCCAGCTTGCATCTCTCTGTGAATCTCTTTGTGATGTCTTCAAGATGACCCATGACATTGAACTGTCGACTTCAACCACTGTGCTTGTCATGCATGGTCTCAGCGCGCCTCTCGAAGATCGCGATCTTGCCACATCTTTTGATTGGTGCAAAAGGCGATTGATTTCAACCAATCGGAAGGAGCGATGACGTGCCAAGCCTCGTTCGTGCCATAGAAGAACCGGAGGAGGATGCTGACCGAGAAGGACCTCAAGATCAAGGTGGGCGTGCTGAAGCGCTCGAAGAAGGACGTCGGCTTCTACGAGAAGGAGAAGACGAAGCAGCTCGAGAAGATCGCGAGCATGCGCAACGACGCCAAGTACGACGATCATGACATCCGCAAGCAGCAGGAGGTGCTCGCGGAGACTGAGGCCATGCTTCCCGAGAGCTACCAGCGCCTCGAGGCGATCGCGCAGGAAGTCGAGATGCTTCTGGAGCAAGTGCCTGCGGGCTCGGAGTGGGCCTGCATTGCCGAGGCCAACGAGCTTTTGCACGCGTAATACACGATTCGTGGGTTTGCTTTTATATGCATGAGCATGGTCATGGCGCCTTGGCCAGCTCGTCAAAGAGGTCCATCGCACGCTTGCAGCTCGAGGGCACGACTGAGTTGCACCCGCCTTCGCACGCGTTGCGCTTGGCCGGGATCGGGCGCACGCTGGCGTACTCGACGCACGCGCCTACGCCAACCTGAGCTGCAGATCGTCGTATCTCATCGCACCCGCGCAGTCGACGCGAGGCACACACGTCATGCGGTCGGTCGCGTTGAGCGGCCGCTCGGCGCAGACCGCCTTGGTCACGGTCATCGTGCCGTAGAGACACCCGTTCGTGCACGGGTCGTTGAACTCGTTCCTATATGCATGCCGCCAAGTAGTACACAAGACACGCGAGGGCGCGTACTCTGGGCAGATGCGCTTGCACATGTCGGCGTGCCACCGCGACTGCACAGCGAGCGCCGTGCAGTTGGCGCGGACGATGCCTGCGTGCACCTCGGGCGAGACGTCGGTGGGCATCGTCATGTACACACCGCCCATAAGCAGCAGCAGCGCCGCCATTGCCGCGCCCGCCAAGAGCACCACGCGCCCCAGCTGCGACGTCGTCGCGCTGGCATCGGCGTCGTGGACCTTGATGTCCTTCCAGTAGTCGGTCGCTTCCTTGTCCCAGATGCTGCCGCTCTGCTTCACGGCCGTCGCTCGGCGCTGCATCGTCGTACGATTTGGAATGACGTGGCTAATTGTGGCGGTGGGTAATTTTAGAACGAAAAACGGGTTTTGGGTGGTTTTTGAAGTCGGAGTGGACAATAGTGTCTATATGCAACCTGCTTATATGCTCATACCATCGTGGTCATGTACTTGTTGTTGTGGTCTTGGAGCTCGGGTACATGCAGCGCACTGCGCAAGAAGAGGACAACGTCGAGGAGGTGCGTCGGCAGCTGGAGCTTCCGCGTCCGGAGCGACGGCGAGAGCACATCTTGCACCGGCAGACAGAACGGGCTCACGCTCAGATACGATCTCGCGAGCGTCGCCATGTCGCCAAAGACATGGACATTGACCTTCCACCACGCGAGCGGGTCGACGAGGTCGGTCGGCGACGCCGCCGTCAAGGACGTTGCGGCGTCCAAGTACGTCTGGACGGTCGCTTGGAGGGGCAGCGCCGAGCTGTCTTCGAACGGGTACATGTCACTCCACGCCATCATGAGGCTGTCTTTGCCGCGCTTCGGCAAGCACGGCGCCGACGCCTCGGCGTCACTCGAGTCGGAGGCAGGCTTTTCCATCGACGCGCTGAGCGTCACAAACGCCGCGTGCTTTTCGTTCGGACTCAAAAACGGCAAAGTCTTGAACCGTGGGTCCACGGCGCAAATGACGTGGCAGATGGGCGGCGCGTGCTTCAAGAGCGCCGAAACGCCGGTCGCAAGCGCTTTCTGGATCGGCGACTTGCAGCTGCGGAGCCGCTTGGCGATGCCGTGCAGCATGGCAAAGACGAGCGACGCCAGCGGCTCGAGCACACTCGACTCGACGAGGCAGTTTTGCAAGAGCGACTGGATGGGTACGAGCACCTCGGCCATGTCCTTGAGCGTCGCCCAGTCCTCGGCGGCAAGCTCGTTTCTCCAGAGACTCTCGGCGGCGACGACCTGCGAGATCATGTCGCCGGTCGACCACCACGACGTCGCTGGTGTGTCGAGCGGCGTGTTGTGGCGCGGGTTCCGCAGTAGGACCTCCCGGCACCGATGGAGCACGTCAGCGGCGACATCAAAGATTGACCGCACCAGGTCCTCGAGCTGGTGCAGCAGGCACGGCACAAACACAATATTGGGAAACGACGCCTGCAGCGCCGCCAGCGGGCAGTCGCGACCGAGCGTGACGGCCACAAGGTGCGACTCGAGGCCGTACGACTCGAGCAGCGCCTGGAACCACAGCTCGAACGGCCGGTCGCCACCGACGAGCGAGACGTCGAGTGCGCACTGCCGGCGCTCGAACGCGTCCGTGACCCAGTGCGCGGTCGCCACATAGACGCAAAACGACGGCGATCCGAGGTCCCACGTGTCAATCGAGAGAGACACCTCGCCGCGCGGCAACGAGGAAGGTATGGAGCGCACTTCGCAGCGAGAGCGCCGCTTCCCGCAGCATCGCAATGAGCGCTGGGCCTTGGAGCGACTGGAACGACCCGGTGGCCTTGGACTTGAGCAGCTGGTGGAGGTCCGGGTCCATCTCGAGCGGTGCGTACTGCGTGACAGCGTAGTGGATCCATTGCTGGGTTTGCGCCATGGACTGCTTCGTCGGCCGCATCGGCAGCTTGCTCTCGTCGGCGGCGGCGGCCTTGGTGCTCTCGCCGAGGTCGGGCGATGCGCTCGGTGGGACGATCGCCAACGGCAGGCGGAGAACACTGCTCCCGCTCTCGCTTGGCTCGTAGTCCTCGGCGCACTTGCCGGGCGCGTAGATGCCATGCTTCCGGCGCAGATGGCGGTTCATCGTCGACGTGCCACCAGAGTAGGCAAAGCGCGTCGAGCCTTCGGGGATGCAGTGAAGACACACGATGGACTTTCTGTCCTCGGATTTGCGAAAGTGCTCCCAGATGAAGCTCGCATTAATGAGCCGCTTGCGCTTGCGCTCGAGGCCGACGTCCGCAAGCATGGCTGTCGCGTCGCTCGGAAGCTCGTCGTCGTCGCGGAGGCGCTTGGCGGGCGCGTCAGGCGGGGGCGTGACCGGCATCTTGTACTGAACCGGCTTCGTGACTGAACCGTTGGTTCTTGCTGCGTTCGGATTGGCTATAAATATTGTGCTTTCGCCGCCTCGGATTGGGCATATCGCTTCGAGGCGACGCCTATTGGCGGAAAAGCGCCAAGTGCCAGAACACGCCCATCACTCGGCCTTGGAGTTTGCCGTTTGGCCGAACGTCAGGATCATTCGTCTTCCCGAGCTTGGTTGATGCAAGGGCCTTTGGCTGGCTTCTATCACCGCAATGGCCCACACTGATGTGCTCTGGACACTCGCGTCGACGTCTGGGCGCGGGCCGAAGACGCTGAAGGCAGCCGACATGGTGAAGCCTCCTGTGTGTACCGCCATGTGAATTCCCCCGTTCGTCGTTCGTCACCCATTCGTGCAAAGGTGGCTCTTAACCACGTTCTGTGCTTCAATACATGTAATGCTCCAATAGAGAGGTACTAGTAGTACAGTTTTGCTTTTGAGGCACAGGACTCCTCCGTACAAGGTACTTGGCGATGGCTGCAGTGACTAGACAGAGCACTTCTCTGCGGCGTAGCTCATCACGACCATTTCTGCGATCAGCAGTTCGCTAGCCTTTCAAGAAAACGATCGATTTGACGCCAGGAACAGGTACATTCGCACGTCGCTAATGGCTGATCACGGTCCCACGAGAAAGCATTTCCTACTGATGGGATGCCGGTACTTGAACATTGGTGGACTGCAGCTCCGGGTTGCAGACATCCCTGCGAGCGTCGGCGGCGATGGTTCAAGATACGAAAGTAGCCAATCAGAGGGTGCCACCACAAACCAAACCCCTGCACAGCGATTGGCCCAATATGGGGCATCCGGATGCTGCAGTACAGCTGCGGCCCAGACAAGAAATTGACTGCCGCACCATGGTAGACGTTGACGCAGCGCGCATGGAGGAGCTTATCTCGCTGCATGTAGCCGCTGCGCCTCGAGATCGACAAGGGCCTCAAGACGCGGTCCATCCGCGTCAAGAGCGTCGCCTTCCACCCGACCGAGCCGTGGGTGCTAAGCGGCCTCTACGATGGCACGGCCACGATCTGGAACTACGAGACCGAAGAGCTCGTCAAGTCGTTTGAAGTGAGCTCGCTGCCCGTGCGCAGCGTGCAATTCGTTGCGCGCAAGCAGTGGATTGTGGCCTCGGGCGATGACATGCACCTCACGGTCTTCAACTACAACACCATGGCCAAGGTCGTCAGCGTCGAGGCGCACCACGACTTTGTCCGGTACGTCGAGGTGCACCCGATCTTGCCCATTCTCCTCACGTGCTCGGACGACATGGCGGTCAAGATGTGGGACTGGGATAAGAACTGGCTGTGCACGCGCGTCTTTGAGGGCCACGGCAGCTACGTCATGATGGCCAAGTTCAACCCGAAGGATACCAACACGTTTGCGACCGCGGGCTTTGATGGCACGGTCCGCGTCTGGGGCCTTGCGACAAGCACGCCCCACTTTACCG